TCTTTTTCATCATGCTTTTTTTTTAAGACTATTCAAGAACTATCTAATGCAGTGGTTTTCAGAGTGTGGTCCCCAGCCCAGCGGCATCAGCCTTCTTGGAACTTCCTATAAACACAGATTCGGCCTCAGACCTCCTGAGTCCAAGGCCGGGGCCAACAGGCGCTCGTGGTGGCGGCTGCGTCCGCGAACTTGCACACCACTCATCTGACCCAGGCTCTTCGTTATGGGAGCCAGATTCGCCCAAAATCACGCAGCTGCTTGATAGGACAGTCCCCTTCAGGCCCTCCCTTCAGCTCTGCATGAGAAGCCCTGGTTACGGCGCTTGCTCTCTGAGGACACCCTGGACCGCATGCCAGACCAGCCCCCTCTGTGAGGTGGCCATCGTCCCCTAGGCCACCAAAACGAGAGGCTGGGCTACCGGCCGTTGTGTTTGAGGTCTAGGTGCAGGGCAGGCTCCGGCGGGTCCGGGGCTGGGTGGGTGCGCGCTCTTGTACAAAAGCCTGTACTGAGATCCTGTAGCGTCTTAACAGTGGTGGCACCTGCTGTGACCCTAAGTTGGCCCCCACGACAGGGGAATGGTGTGTAGGATTTGTCCCTCGCTCTGTTCTAATAGCAGCTAGCTGCCTGCATCGGGCCGCTCGATACCGCTGAGCCCCCAGACGTCACGCCCCCCCTCCCCTCTTAGAGCATCCGTGAAGGCCTGGGCTGATGGCTGCCCCCCCTCGGGAGGCCCTGACATTTGAGACAACACGGGCCTGTCCTCGCCGGTCCAGCCTCCAGTGCTGCTCGGGGACTGGACCTCCAGCACTCCCGGACCGGGCGAGGGCCAGGATGAGGTCAGGCTTGCACAAGGCAGGGGTCGGTGTTTGAGGCGGAGCGGTGGGCTGGCCCAGGACCCAGGGAGTTAACAGCGCCGTGGTCTCCCTGGCGGGAGCCTGGCCCGCCCCAGAGCCCAGCCCGATAACCGCCGCACAGGCGCGGGAGTGTGGAGTCTCCGGGCAGCCTTGCTCTCGTCTCTGCGCGCAGGCTGCTGGCTCAGTCCCAGCCGCCCCCATCGGGTCGTGGTCTTCCTCTGTATTTGCTGCCTGACTCTCTGGCCTGGTGTTTGCTGTGCCGCAGAAACACGTCCCCCCCCCACCCCCACCCCGTGGAACCGTGCAAGTGCCACATTACGTGGCCTGTACACTCACGTCCTCTCTCCTCTGCCCTCCTGCCCCGCCCCTCCCCGCGCTGCTGGTGGGCTTGGCTGCAGGCGGGGACATGATCAGCAAGATGCTGAAGATGCAGCTGCTGGAGGACGAGGACGACCTGGCCTACGCCGAGGCCGAGAAGAAGGCCAGGGCTGACTCCACGTCGGATGGGCGCCCCGCCTGGATGCGGACCCTGCACACCACCGCGTCCAACTGGCTGCATCTCATCCCGCACACGCTGAGCCACCTCAAGCGGACGGTGGAGAACATCAAGGTGGCCGGGAGCAGGCCGGGCGGCCCCCGGGTGTGCACGGTCCTGGCGGGCTCGGGGCAGTCCCAGCCAGCGGGCGTCTGCGCCCGGGCTCCGGCATGAGGGCAGGCCCCTCGCGGGGGGCAGGGGGGGTGTCCGTCTGCATGAGCGGCGTGAGGGGGTCTCCAAGGAAGCGGCGGCAGCCACCATTCCTCCTCTTCGGGCAGGGTTCCCAGAGCGAGCGCGGGAGAAAGCCGGGAGCCTCAGGCCGGGGGGCTGTGAGGTCCCGCTGGAGGAGGGGCTCTTCCTAAAGCCTCTTCTTGACTCGGGCCTTCTCGTCTCTTGGACGATCCTAGGATCCTCTGTTCAGGTTCTTTGAGAGAGAAGTGAAGATGGGAGCTAAGTTACTTCAGGACGTTCGCCAGGACCTGGCAGATGTCGTCCAAGTGTGTGAAGGGAAGAAGAAACAGACCAACTACCTGCGTACCCTTATAAATGAGCTGGTGAAAGGTACCGGCCCTCCCATGTGCGCCCCCTTACTGCGCGGGGGGGCACGTGGCCGCTGCTCTGCGGGGTCAGCCCATCCCTTCTGCGCCCACGTCCCTCTGAGAGCAGCCGTGGGCCCTTCCCCGGGGACCGGGCTCAGAAGGGCCCGAGAGGTTTTATTTGCCGATTCCCTGAACGTTTATTAAATCTTTACAATTTCTAGGGGAACGGGCAGCACATTAAAAAGGGGGGTGCTTGAGTCTAAAAGTACAGAGAGCCCCCAGGGGCCTCCGATCCACCCCAAGAGCCTGAATTGGGGTGAGGCACAGCTGTTGTGTGAGGGGAGTTAGCCGCTGAGGCGTTCCTTTGGGGGTGAGTGTGGTCCTCCAGACATCCCACCCCCCCCCCAGTTACGCTGGATGGAGCAGATGCCGAGCTGGAGGCGGCCCATCTGGGACCTGCGAGGTGTGGTCAGGGAGGGAGGCGGGTGGAGCAGAGAAGCCGCGCGCGCCCCACACTGACCCGTGTGCGCCTGGGAGTGGTCAGAACTGACGCTGCCTGGGGTCACCTTGCTTGCAGGCATCTTGCCTCGGAGCTGGTCCCACTACACCGTGCCCGCGGGCATGACCGTCATACAGTGGGTGTCCGACTTCAGCGAGAGGGTCAAGCAGCTACAGAACATCTCCCAGGCGGCTGCGGCCGGTGGTGCTAAGGAGCTGAAGGTGGTGAAGGCCGCTCCTCGGGAGCCTGGGGGAGGGGTCGCAGCTGTCTGGGCAGGGGAGGGGCAGCACCCGGGAGCTCAGGGGACTAGCCCAGACCCCAGCATGACCCAAGAGAAGGGGTGGTGCTCGCTCCTCACCGTGGGGGGGGGGGCGCTGCTTCCCACAGAACATCCACGTGTGTCTGGGCGGCCTGTTTGTCCCCGAGGCATACATCACCGCCACCAGGCAGTATGTGGCCCAGGCCAACAGCTGGTCCCTGGAGGAGCTCTGCCTGGAAGTCAACGTCACCACCTCCCAGAGTGCCACTCTCGATGCCTGCAGCTTTGGGGTCACGGGTGAGTTAGGGTCCTCAGCCACTCTGTCTGGGCTGCTCCCTAAGGCTCCCGGGCCCTGCACCCGGGCCTTCTCACGGGTGGTCCTGGTGGCCCTTCCAGCGGCACTCCCGGTCAGGTGTGTCTGAGGTGACGGGTGGCAGCACGCCAGAGCCGTGCACTGCGGCACAGTCGCACAGCCGTTGCCACTAGTGACGGGGCCTGACTTCTTCCGGCAGGGCTGAAGCTTCAGGGGGCCACGTGCAGTAACAACAAGCTGTCGCTGTCCCACGCCATCTCCACGGTTCTTCCTCTGACGCAGCTGCGCTGGGTCAAGCAGACCAACGCCGAGAGAAAGGCTAACGTGGTAGGTGGCCCCTTCCGCCGTCTGGGGTCGGCAGGTGCCGTGGGCCCGCCCCCTTCCCTGCGTGCAGCCTGGCGCCAGGGCCGCTGTCCGTCTCTGCCTGAGCCAGCGGCAAGCCCCTGTCCTCTCCTCTAGGTGACCTTGCCCGTCTACCTGAACTTCACCCGGGCAGACCTCATCTTCACGGTCGACTTCGAGATCGCCACCAAGGAGGACCCGCGCAGCTTCTACGAGCGCGGCGTCGCCGTCCTCTGCACGGAGTGAAGCTCGACTCCCCTGACTCCCCTGTCTCTAGTCGTAACTCTCTTTAATGTCTCTTCATCGTTCAACTGGTGGGAAGAAGCGGACTTGTCAGAGTCGTCGGTGTGCGGTCGGAGGAAGCGGAAGGCAGGCTGCCGGCCGGGGTGGTGAAAGCTGGAAGGACTCCGCGAGGTGCCTCAGGAGCGTCCGTAGCACGGCGTGTTCGGGGAATAAAACACTAAGCACGACCCGGCCTCCTGCCTCTTCTGTCTCCGCTCCCCTCCCGGCGCCGAAACTCTGGGCCCGGGGGCGCTACCCCCACGGAAACGAGCCCCGGGCCCTGACCAGGCAGCGCGTGCACCTTTGCGCGGAGGGCCTGGCCCCGGTGGCCGCCCGTCCCATGTCCCCCACATCCCAGGGTGGCAGCTGCTGACCGCCGGCTGTTCACACTCGACGTGATGCGTGTGGTCTCCCTGAGAAAACAGGTGTCTGGTCTTTGCCTTGTGGCGGCAGCCCCTGTGGTTAATCAACCGCCGGCCCGGCCTTAGCAGAGACCCCGTGGTGAAAACCCGTTCCTCCTGCAGCTGCGTGCCACCCCCCAGCCAAGTGATGATCTAGGCCTGAGGGGGGGGCTTAAGCCCCCGCCCCTGCCCACACCCCAACCACTTCTGAGGAGCCACGAGGCTCCAAACGTCCCCAAGGCCTGGGAGCCAGAGTCCGCCGCCTCCCCACGCAGTTCTGGAATGTTCTGTCAGGAATCTAAATGTTTTTCTCAGAGCCAATAAGGATTCTTAGCTTTTCTGCAGCGAGATTCCTAAATGGGGCTGTAGGCTCTGAGAGCTGGGACCAGGCCTGAGGAAGGAGGAGGAGGAGGACCCACAGAAGGCCGCCGTGGGCATCTGTCCCGCCTACTTGCCGTGCCCAAGTACAGGTGAGGGTCCCGAGCACAGGAGGAAGGATGCCATGGGGGAGGGGGGAGAAGGCAGAGCAGGTCCCTGAACGGGGGAGTGAGCAGAAGCCGCTGCAGCTACTGGACATCCAGCACCTTGCCAGGAGGGTGGGGGCAGGCCCCCCCCAGGTCTGGGAGGGAAGCTCCCCCGGTCAAGGGCTTCCACGTCCACCCCACAGGCTCGCCTGAGTCACCTACTTGCTACCTCCTAAAGCCCCACGTGAATCAGTGCCTGGCTCCAGGGAGCCTCGCCCCCACATGAAGCTCAGCCCATGGGGCCTGAGGGACCCCCCCACCTCTGGGGCCACCCATTCACCATGCTGTTGTGGGGGCAGGCCAGACAGTGGCCATAGTCCCCCTCATCCTCAGTGGGCAGAGCCAGCAGACGGGCCAGGGGGCCCCCAGGGCGTGAAGAGAACACCGGCACCCAGGCCCGCTCCCCACCCCACCCCCGCGCCCCGCCCACCAGGAGGAAGGAGCAGCTCTTGTCCTCTGGCAGGCTTCCCCTTTATTGGCACTTGGGAACAGCACGGTCGTGGGGCGAGTGGGCAGCGGTCACCCAGCGCTGGCACCAGACTTGTGCTCAGTTCATGCCTGCTAGGGAGCAAAAGGCCCAGTGAGCAAACCCCCAGCAACCAGGAAAAGGCTAAGAGCCACCACCACCCCCCCATTGTTTTTTAACTATCAGCACATCAAGACCATGATCCTGTCAACAGAGCCAAAACCAACTCCTCAGAAAATCCTCACCTTGTACGGACAGTGACAGAGGAATGGAAATAGGGACATCGAGCAGGGTGGCTTCTCACGATGCGGGGGCGGGGGACAGAGCAATTCACCGAGAATCGGACACGCCCCCCCTCCCCCCGCCGCCCCTCTACCCCACTCCCACCCCCAGAGCAAACATTCAGGTAGGGTGGACAACAATGGGCACCAGGAGTCAAGATTTAAAAAAAAAAAACACTAATTCTATGGAAACATAAATATTCAGTAAAAGTAAATTCTCGGATTCAGGGGAGGTGGGCTCCATGAGAGCCACACAGGACCTTTCCTCAGCTGGAAACCCCTTTTTTCTTTTTTTAGATTTTATTTATTTACTTGAGAGAGAGAGAGCACATGAGAGGGGGGAGGGTCAGAGGGAGAAGCGGGACTCGATCCCGGGACTCCAGGATCATGACCTGAGCCGAAGGCAGTCGCTTAACCAACTGAGCCACCCAGGCGCCCGGAAACCCATTTTTAAGCAATGCTGGTGGGCCCCCAGGTGTTCATTATTTAAGACCTGAAAAGGGCAAGTGTTTCATGGAACCAAGTCCATCAGCGTTAGCTTTGGCCAAGGGGCTCCTCTCGGGGCGTTAGCGCCCCCTCCTGAGCTAACTGCTCACCTTGGTCTAGGCCACATACTGCTTCTTTCTCTTGTTTTTCTCAGGCTCTGCAAGTAAAAGTTCCAGTTTCCTCTTGGAGAGGGTGCGCTTGGGGCCCTTGTCCTTCTCACTCCCGAGTCTGGCGGGCGGCCGTGCCGCTCTGGCTCGGCCCTGCGCGTGTCTGCCAGGCTCCGGGGGCCCCGCGGCCGGGACGACGGGGCCGGCTGCCCTGGGCCACCGGTCCTCCGTCATCCTCCAGTCCTCCGGCGACCCAGAGCGCCGGGCTGCCCGCCCTCGGGCCTCAGGGCTGCTGGCCTCGGCGGGCTGCATATCCACGTCGCTGGCCTCTGGGGATGTGGGGCCCCAGCTGGCAGCTTTCAGGAGGGGGTCTGGGGCTTTTGATGACAGAGGGTCTTCTAAGCCAACTTCTCCCGGACTCCCGCACCTGAGGGCGTGGGAAGGCACAGTACCGTTCGCGGCACCCGGAGGAGAACAGTCGCTGAAGCTGGAGACTGGACGACCGGGGGGAGCTTCTGAATCGCCATCGAAAGGATCTAAAAACTGAGCGCAAAACCATTCCTGAGCCAGTTAGCAATTTCTACCAGGATAAAGTACAACACACTCCTCACATGAGCAAATTACTTCTTCCATCACTGATGTTGGCAAACTCCGCGGATCTGCCTTGCAAATGCCTTAGACAGGTGGCATCTGGGGGCACAGTCAGTTGAGTGCCCCACTCTTGGTTTCAGTTCCAGTTGTGATCTCAGGGTCATGGGATCGAGCCCCGCGACGGGCTCCGCACTCAGAGCAGAGTCGGCTTGTCTCCCTCTCCCTTCCCTAACCTCCCTAACCCTAACCCCCCAATAAATAAATATTTTTTAAAATGCATTAGACAAATACCCCCTCACATCCAAAAAGCCCGAGGGTCTGCCATCACTGGGGGCCCAATCTGGGTCCCATCACTTAAAGCCCTCGTCCCAGAGCTGGGTCCACACCGCCCCGCCCACCACTGCGGAATCTGAGCTCACTTCCTCCCAACATCCGGCTCCTGGCTCGCCCCACCCCTCCCCGACCAGCTGTGCACAAACGTGCCCCTCACTGCACGCCACCCCCACACACAGCTGCCCCAGCGGCCCGCAGAGGCTGAACTGAGCTTTTAGGTGCAGGGTTCACGGTTTTCAAAGGTGCCCGTGGGCTGTGCCCCTTGTCTGAGCACCAGGCGCAGGTGGTACAGCCCATCCTCCACGGCAGCCTCTTACCTCTGTGACCACTGGCCGAGGGGCCCGTGGAGCTTTCTGGACCTCGAGTCCCGTGGCCCCTCGCCCCTGACCTTGTACCCGGATTTCCTAGCTCTTACTTCAGCTTTTCCCCTTCCTGCGTTGGTGCTCTTGACTGAGCGGCTCTGGCAGCAAAGGTCTCCAGGGACGTCTGAGTCCCCGCAAACGACCGCTGTCCCTTCCTGTGCTAACTGCGGGGAGCTGCACCCCACCAACTTCCAGTCCCAGGTTCAGACCTCCTCCCAGATTCGCTAAGGGCCCCGAGAAGACCGGGAACCTGTCGGGTTGGCCTCCAGGGATGTGGGGGCCCCAGCGGGCAGGGATGACCGGGCTTCACGCCTCATAGAGCCACAGGCCGAAAGGGCCCAGGGCTGAGCCAGTGCAGGGAGCCCAGCGCACCTCACGTGGGCAGTGAAAACCTGCCGGGGGTGCTCATTCCTTCCGTGGGCAGACAACACAGTTACGTACGCCCCCCCCCAAAAAAAGGTAAAAATGAAAAATAGTTTCACACCATAATCTGAAGGCAGCTCTAATATTTCAGATTCAGAAACCGGCAGAATTGTTGGAATTCACGGAGCCAGCACCGTGTGATCCCACTGCACAGCAGTCAGCAGCCCCACGAGGCCTCGAGGCCCAGACTAGGGGTGCGTGTAGGGGAGGGCAAGGGGCTCACCCTGCAAATAAACCAACAGTGTCAGTCCTTGTAGACCGAGAGAGGCCCGGCAGGACAGGCGTTCACCCGCCACAATGGTTGGGGTTAGAACCTTACCCAGGGTCTCAAAACTCCGCGAGACCAGGTGTTAACTACACCCGGGTTCTTGATTTCAATTTGGACTGCAGTTAATGTTAAGGAGCCACTGGCCAGCTCACTGTGGGGAGCCTAGGCTCTTGATCTTGGGGTCGGGAGTTCAAGCCCCACACTGGGTGTAGAGATGACTTAAAAATAAAATCTTTTGGGGTGCCTGGGAGGCTCAGTTAGGTGAGCATCTGACTCTTGATTTCAGCTCAGATCATGATCTCAGGGTCGTGAGATCGAGCCTCATGCCAGCTCTGTGCTCAGCGGGGAGTCTGCTTGAGACTCTCTCCCTGCCCCCCCACCCGCTTGCGTGCGCGCACACACACTCTCTCTCTAAAAATGAATAAGTCTTTTTAAAAAATAAAATGGATTCTTTAAAAAATAATAAATTAATTTTGAGATTAAATGATTGCAAACTTATGGTCTTGTCAGTCTTCCAGGCAAACAACTTTGAGTCTTTTTCTTATTTAAAAAAATCTGCGGGGCGCCTGGGTGGCTCAGTCGGTTAAGCGACTGCCTTCGGCTCAGGTCATGATCCTGGAGTCCCGGGATCGAGTCCCGCGTCGGGCTCCCTGCTCAGCGGGGAGTCTGCTTCTCCCTCTGACCCTTCCCCCTCTCGTGCACTCTCTCTCTCAAATAAATAAATAAAATCTTTTTTAAAAAATGTTTAAAATAAATAAATAAATACATAAAAATTAAAAATCTGAGAGGCGCCTGGGTGGCTCAGTCGGTTAAGTGGCTGCCTTCGGTTCAGGTCATGGTCCCAGGGTCCAGGGATCGTGCCCCTCATTGGGCTCCCGGCTCAGCGGGGAGTCTGCTTCTCCCTCTCCCACTTCCCCAGCGCGTGCTTTCTCTCTCTCTCCCAAATAAAATCTTTAAAAAAATGTTTTTTGAAAAAGGAAAAATCAATTTAAATATCAAAGTGAAGCCTCTTCTAAAATACAGTAACTCCAGTCTTTCCCTGCAGAAAAGAGCAAAGACAGCAGGCCCCAAACCACTCTCCTTGGAAAGGCCCTACTTCCAAGGTTGGCCCCTGGCTGGTTCTGGGGACTTGGATTCGGGGATGAATCCGCCACCCCTAAAGGAGGAGAGTGGTGGCTGGTTCATTTTGTCACGTACCTCTCTCCAGATACCTTCAATTAAGTCCATGTGGTTCTTTTTGTGATTGGCCTGGGAAAGTTAAAAAAAAAAAAAAAAAAGGCTAAATAATCCTTTCTAGAAAGGCAGGCAGGCAGACAGCCGCTCCGTGTCCAAAGGCCAGGGACCGAGGGAACCCACTCTAGCAGTTCCCGCCACGCAGCGGGACCCTCAGAGGATGGCAGCCCTTGGGGGTGGGCGAGAAGCACCTCCTCGGTTTGAGGGACTAAAATGCAAACCTGGCCACCATGATTAGGAAAAGTCGAACCAGGAATGCGGCAAGGAGGCAGATTCGGCAGCTGGATGTGATCCCCTTCACATCGGGGATGGAGAACCCTGCACTCGTTCTAAACCCAAAGCCAGAAGATCACGGAAGATCCTAGATCATCCATCCTAACCCCTTCCTTTACAGCGGCTGAGGCCAGACAACGGCCAGGCCTTGCTAGGGGGCCCTCCAAGAACCCGGAGCTGGTATCAGATGTTCTAGAACCCTCCCCACTAATCCCAGGCTGCTGGGGGAAAGCAGCTCTTTTTTCTTGATCAAAAGACAGGAATTTGAACATGTCTACTTGACGGGAAGAAAGCCCCATAAAGATTTTGCCAAGAACCACTGAGATTACTATTTCCAAGGAGGGGTGCAGGCCCAGAGCCAGGATGCCTGGTCTGGGACTCTCAGGGTCTCCCTGCCCTGCCCGCCCCGGCGCCACCAGGAGGGCAAGGGGCGGCCCGGGGGGAGCACCTTGAAGCAATGGAGTGTGGTTCTCTGCCTCTTCCGGAAGCCAGCCCCGGCGCTGGCCGAGCTGAACGCTGCCCGGATGCAGGCGGGTCGGCCGTGCCTCAGGCCTGCCATGGCTGGGGGGCCGGTTATGATGAACTTTTCACTTCACTGAAAAACATCAAGTTCACGGGGACAAAGCACAGGTCCTGGGTGGCTGGGGTGGGGGAGGGGCAGCCCCCCAGGGCGGGTGGCGGGGGGGGGGGGGGGGGGGGCGTCTCTGGGAGCTGGCTGGCCGCCGGCCCGCGGGATGCTTTGTCCAAGTCAGAGCTACGTGCCCCAGGCTTGTCTTGCGGGTTCTACCTCACCTAGACCAATCTACGGGGTTCCCAAAAAATGTTTTCGTTAACCCCCCGGGCGGCGTGGGAGTCCAGCCCGCGAGCATTACGTCAGCGTGGGAAAAGCCCTGTACATCCAGAAGCTCCGTCTTACACGAGCTCAGTGGAAAGGTCACACATTCATTGAGCCTGAAAGTTCCAGACTGGAACCCACCCACCCAGCTCAAGTGTCCTCCCCCTTTATTCTAACAGATGAAGCATGTGAGCCCAGGATGGGGACTGACTCACTCCCCCAAAGGGACAGAAACACAGGAAGCTTCCCCGCCCCCCCACCAAGTGTGAGGGTTAAAAAAAAAAAAGCAACATGCAGGGCGCCTGGGTGGCTCAGCTGGTTAAGCGTCTGCCTTCGGCTCGGGTCATGGTCCCAGGGTCCTGGGATCGAGCCCCACATCGGGCTCCCTGCTCCGCGGGAAGCCTGCTTCTCCCTCTCCCACGCCCCCTGCTTGTGTTCCCTCTCTCGCTGTGTCTCTCGCTGTCAAATAAATAAATAAAATCTTTAAAAAAAATAATTTAAAATATGCACCCCTTCCCCCCCCAAAAAATATGCACCCAAAGGAGAGAGACCATCCACTCTTAAAAAACAAAACAAAAACACCCAGAACGTGAGACCGTGAACCTACCTCTGTGGACTTTCATGTCACCTGCTTTCCTCAAGAATCCTTGTGGGAAGGAACGCGCCAGGCCCCGAGGGGAAACGTCAGTCATAAACGCTGCCCACCTCCCCACTGCTGTCAACCCCGTCTTTCCCAAACTGGGCTCCGTGGAACACCGGTTCCAGGCAAAGGGCAGAGAAATACGAAAGGGTATAAACCAGACCCCAAAGCACAATACACATCAGCATTTTAAAGGCTAGAAAGGTTCCCAGCAAAAACCAAAGCATTTTTTTTTCAGTATTGACTTCATTCAGATTTCATTAGTTTTCACCAAGGGTCCTTTTTCTGCCCCAGGATCCTATCCAAGACCCCACCTTCCACGTAGCTGCCAAGTCTGCTCAGGCTCCTCTGGGCTATAACAGTTTCCCAGGCTTTCCCGGCTTTCGCTGACCTTGACAGTCCTGAGGACCATCGGGATTGTTCTGATGATTTTCTTATGAACACACTAGGGCGATGGATTTGGGGAGCACGCCCACACAGGGGACGTGCCCTTCTCAACACAAGGGGATCGCCATGAAGGTTCACAGGTGACCTTTTCCCTGCCCGGCCCACCCGCTCCTCCTTGGAAGCTGTCTTGCGGTGCGGCCCACACTCAAGGGGGGAGGTTTACACTGAGCGCCCGGACAGGGAGCGTGTTCGGAAATCCCTCGGCCTGGGAGACTTTTCTCCCTATTTACTGATTTAGCCAATCATTCACTTGTATCAGGGTGGACTCACATTTATTTTATACTTGAGTTATAATAAATATATGATTTGTGGGGGGCGGGCTCCTGGCTGGCTCGGCCAGTAGGGCGTGAGACTCTTGATCTCGGGGCTGTGTGTTCAAGCACCGCACTGGGTGTAGAGAGTAGTTTAAAAAATAAAATATTAATAAATATATACTACATTATTTTGTTCCACTTTCGGCTGGAACTTGTTCGGCCGGCTCCTATGCTCCGTGACATGTCCAAACCAACTTAATTTTGATCTCCAAAGGAATACATCCTGTGAGTTTCTTAGTAATCTCTCTAGGCCAAGTTCAGATAAAAGTCCCCCAAAAGTGAAATTATAACAAGGAGGGGAATCTGACCCCTATATTCTCCTCACTTTCCCTGCCGGACGTATGGGCCCGGGTCAGGGCCAGGGCCAACCCCACATTTTCTAGAGCAGGTGGTTGGCACAGGTTAAAGGTTTCTTTTCTTTTTTTATTTTATTATTTCGTTTATTTATTTATTTGACACACAGAGAGAGAGAGAAGGAGTGCATGAGCAGGGGGAGCTGCAGAGGGAGAGGGAGAAGCAGGCTCCCCGTGAGCAGGGAGCCCGATGCGGGGCTCGATCCCAGGACCCTGCGATCATGACCTGAGCCGAAGGCAGATGCTTAACCATCTGAGCCACCCAGGCGCCCCTTAAATACTTTTTTTTTTAAAGATTTTATTTATTTATTTGAGAAAGAGAGAATGAGAGCACGAGAGGGAAGAGGGTCAGAGGGAGAAGCAGACTCCCCGCTGAGCATGGGATCCCGTGACCCTGAGATCATGACCTGAGCCAAAATCAAGAGTCAGACATTTAACTGAGCCACTCAGGTGCCCCTCTTATATACTTTTTAATAAAAAGGTATTTTATGCATGTGGTTAAAAAACAACTCTTAGGGGCACCTGGGTGGCTCAGTCGTTAAGTGTCTGCCTTCGGCTCAGGTCATGATCCCAAGGTCCTGGGATCGAGCCCCACATCGGGCTCCCTGCTCCGCGGGAAGCCTGCTTCTCCCTCTCCCACTCCTCCTGCTTGTGTTCCCTCTCTCACTGTGTCTGTCAAATAAATAGATAGATAGATAGATAGATAGATAGATAGATAGATAGATAGATAGATAGATA